GAACGACGACGACCATGTGTGGGTGACGTACCAGAAGGTTTGGACCGATATTGCCTTTCTCCGAACTCGATCTTAGTTTGACAAAAATATTACGATGTACCAAGTTTGGACCAAATCGGATATCCCTTCGAGAGTTATCGTGTGCACCAGTCAGCCAGTCAGACAGAGAGACCTAGGGTTTAAAACCGTTATTTTGACTAGGCACATTTTGACCGCATCAAATGATATATACCCTCTCCAGCCATACGGCTGAGGGTATAAAAACAACTAGTTGCATTTGTTATTTGTAAATTTGAAGTTACAAGACACTCGCTTCAGGGTTGTGTCTTTCAAATTTTATCATTCTGCCGTACCTTGTAATTATTGTATGGAGCTTGCAAGTTCTGGAAGAGAGCATATAATTTCCACATAACTTAATCCACAAACACATGATGACCTTAAGACTTAGGAAGACATTTTCAGAGTCAAAATATATCCGCGACAAATTCCTTTTTCCAAATTCCAGCCTATGACAAATGACAAATCATTTTATATACATATTTATGCCCTTGACCATGAACAATCTTATTCCGCGAATAAATGTTTTATTTTTCCTGAGGGCCAAACTTCACGTCCACTCAATTGCTTTATCTTTCAAGAAATTTGATTTTTGTTTAGTTTTTTTTTCTTCCGAATTTAGTTGGCAAAAAGAAGTCATATGATTTTGATTAATATAAATAAATTGATTAAATTTAATTGTGTTTAATTTATGACAATTTTTGAGTTCATTTTTTGAAGTTCAAGTGTATTTTGTGGCACAAGATTCAGTTGATAAAAATAAGTCGCAGCCTAAGATTAAGAACCTAATTTAATAGGTTTGGTGCCATATTTCATCATCTGGCGATCTGATAATCTAAGCAGATTAAAATGCATTTAGTGACGGAATTGTACGTTCAAGGATCTAATTATTCTATTATTTTCCCTGTAGAATAAAGCATAATTTTAAATTCACCAGAATTGAATGTAAGGACAAAATATTAAAGCAATAATTGCTCGCCATTAAAGTCCTGGACTGCATGTAGGAACAATTAGGTTATTATGCCACAGTGGCAAAGAAACGCTATACTAATGAAGCTATATACAGGGCGAGATGAAACAACTGCAACCAACTTCAGACCGCTGTCATTTTCAAGGCACTCGTCCGACAGCTGTTAAAATTATTCCAGTGACAGCTCATTATATTGTCTACAAGCGTACAAAAGCACTTTGGTGAGAATTTTCCGGAAAAAAGTTATTCGTGATGACATTCAAGCGTGATAGTGTGGTTTCTTTATGTTTTGCTGGAAAACCACAAGTGGTCATCGTTAGAGCACTCCAGCATTTAAATTTGAATAAATCTTTTGTGTCTCGTACCATCGGTTATTACCATGATACTGGTAGTGTAGCCCGGCGTCAATGAGGTGGACGGAAGAAAACAGCAACATCAGCAGAAATGGTTCGAAAGTAAAGAAGCGACTTGATCGAAACCCGCGTCGCAGTGGCCGAAAAATGACTTGTGAGCTGAACATATCGCAATATTCCATTCGGCAAATATTGAAAAATGAGCTCGGGGTAAAGCCATTGAAATTCCAAAAAAATGCAAGAACTTACACCGCAACAGAAAGAAAATAGACTCGCTTGGCCGAAAGTGGTGAACTGCCGATTTTAATTTTCTCCGAAGAGAAAACATTCGTTGTCCAGCAGTTTGTAAACAAACAAAATGATCGTGTTTACTTGTTAAAGAGGTCAGTTGAAAATGTGCACCTTCGGTTGGCCACCAGAACTCAAGCGCCGGTCATCGCTTTCCGCTCGTATTAATCGACCGTGGCATCAGAATAAATGCCGAATAATTAAAGCCTTGGGCAGGCAAACATTTTGGCTGCAGACCTTGGACATTCCAAAGGAACTCAGCACCATCACACTTAGCACGCGCCACCCAAGAATGGTTACAAAATGAGGTTCCTCGCTTCATTTAAAGCGCACAATGGCCACCAAAATCTCCGGATACCAATCCGTTGGACCATTATGTCTGGAGTATGTTGCACTAAAAAATACCAAAGTGACGATCACCTCAAGCAATCGCTTCGCCGGGAATGGGCCAAAATACTGGTTTCATTGGTCGTTTGAAGGCCATAATTCATGCCAAAGGTGACCAATTCGAAACAATCTAAACTTGTTCTAAAATTTGATGCTATTTCCGACATTTTTTGCTTTCATTCACTAAAATTGTAAAAAAATGTAAAAATTATAACGTTTTTTTATCTCACCCTGTATATATTCTTGATCAGAGTAAACGACGATTTAAGACGTCGATATTCGGTATTTTCATGATTTTAGAACAATTTTTCAATGTTACTGTCTCAAAATCCACACCGGCAGTTCACTTCTTCCGCACGGGCTGGCTATTTATACAAGAGAGATGAAGACGCTAACACAGGCCATATAAGCTAAAATTGCTGTTATGAGAAAGGCAACAGAATTAGTAAAAGATCGCAGGATCTCTAAAAGCAATTTGGTCCTGTATTAAAAGATTGCGAAGAAGAAAAAGATCTTTACCTCTTCTTATGCTTCAAGTCAAACAGGTCAGGGAAACCTCTCCCTTGTATTTTTTGACCAAGGGCGACAAAGTGAGGTCTGACATTGAAAAGGTGTTCTTGGCAACAGAATTCCAAAAATTAGAAACAGTCAATACAACGCCAAAGCATCCAAAAACAAATTAGAACTGTCACTAAGCTTTGCCTGCATCTGTATTCCATTAACCTGTACATCTAACACCCTATCCTCCAGTTTTCCAGAAAATATGTTTATTAGTGCCGATATTTAGAATTCGAGCTTACTACATTATTTCTGTTGAAGTTAGTAATGGATTCTACAGCCTAAGACGGAAAATTGTCTGTGCAGGTCCGGTTCTTCGTATATCCTCCATATATATTCGGTATTGTAATGATTTTAGCGAGATTTTCCACCGGAATTGTTTCAAATTTGGTATTTGAAGTTCGTAATGGATACTACGGCCTACTACAGAATATTGTCTGTGCAGGTCCACGCTTTGGTATAGCCCCCATATAATAGTACCTCTTTTTATACCCTACACCACAAGGTGGTCATTATACCCTACACCACAAGGTGATCAGGGTATTATGTCTTTGTGCATTTGTTTGTAACAGCCAGAAGGAAACGAGATAGACCCATAGTTCCTTTTGATGATCTGCATAGAATCACATTCTGAGTCGATTTATGCATGTCCGTGCGTCTGTCCATGTATTTTTGTAAACAAAGTACAGGTCGAATTTATTGCCCGATCCAGATGAAATTTTGCAAAGATCTTTTGTTTGGCCCAAGGACGAACCCTATTGAAATTGGAGATAATCGGTCAAAATTTAGATATAGCTCCCATACATATCTTCGTCCAATTTGCCTTTTATTGTGCACCAAACGTGTAATATCAGCCTGAATTGTATGGAATTTTGCATATACACCCAAATTAGGCCTGAAAATATGTATGTCAAATTTGATCGAAATCGGTTCAGATATAGCTATAGCTCCCATATATATTGTTCATCCGATTTGTTATTTTTGTCCACCGCCGCCGTAATATGCACAATATTTGGGGAAATATATCAAATACAGCTCAGAAATACATTTGCTAAATTTTATCGAGATCGGTTCAGATTTGGATATAGCTCCCATATATAACTTCGTCCGATTTACCTTTTATTGTGCACCAAACGTCTAATATTTGTCCAAATGGGATGGAATTTGGCACTTACGACCGAATTGAGTCTAGAAGCTAGTATGTCAAATTTGGCGAAGATCGGAGATATAGCTATAGCTTCCATATATATTATTCATCCGATTTGTTATATTTGTTACCCACAACCGTAATATGCACTCCGTAACAACGATATTCAGGGAAATATATCAAATACAGCTCAGAAATATCTTTGCCAAATTTTATCGAGATCGGTTCAGATTTGGATATAGCTCCCATATATATCTTTATCCGATTTCAAATTAATTGTGCACCAAATGGGCAATACAATTCCGAATTTAAAAGATACAAATGCTTCGGCATATTTAGTCCTTTGAACTTTAAATTATAATTATAATCATAGCGTGTATGATTGAATTCTCCCATAAAAACTTTTAATTGTTATGTGGAGCTCTACTTAATTAGCAAAGTGGTGTAGGGTATCATAAAGTCGGCCCCGCCCGACTTTAAGACTTTCTTTACTGGTTTTGTTTTAGATTCGTTCCAAATGGTGGAGGGTATTCAAAGTTCGGTCCGGCCGAACTTACAGCTTTTTTACTTGTTTCTTATAAATACTACAATACTGGCATTTGTATACACTTCGTGCGTAAACATAACAAGCACATCATCCTGGTAAGGCGATGATCGTATATCAAAAAATTTTATCGATGGAAACTAATTTGTGAATCTGCATTTTTGTCGGAAAATTAATGTTTATTACTTCCTGTACACCCCTCGTACAGGCAGAGCTCTTCACAACTATTTTCTTAATATTGTAGACGATATACTTAATATGTTGCATAATAAAAACACAAGCGTCCACCAGATAATATGGCCTACCCACCCCCTTTTTTTTGGGGTAGGTCAATGCTTCGAGAGCTATTGATTGAAATGTTGGCCTTCATTTAAATATCCCACGAAGAAGGTAGTCTATTATATCATCTACATTCACATACATACATATACGGTATGATACACTTTCACTACGCAGAAAGAAATCAATTTTCTTATAAATTTTAATTAAATTTAAAAAATCTAGACCTCCCTTGGTCCTCTACGATTCTGTTCTGTGCTCTTAATAAACTAACCAATTGAAAAATCACCACAAAACATGAGCACTGGGTTTCACCATAGCATCCATTATAGTCAGTTGTACCTTAACGAGACACATAAACCCAAACCTCTCTCCGAGCAATTGTTTTCAATCAAACCAAAACATAGTACAATACGATTGTTGTTGTTCTTTTTGTAGTATGATTTATTAATTTATTGTCTAAATTAAAGCAAACATAAATTGATACAAACAGTTATTCTGTATTCAAGTGTGTGGCTTGGCGGAAGAGTGAATGAGGGGAGGGGGCGGTTCAACAAAAAACAAAAGGAACAACCGACCACCACCATCACCATCACTCACCGGGAAGTGTGTAGAATTCTTTTTGGTGCGTTTGCAAACAATTCTATGGCTATAAATTAAATAATTTCCCCCATTGGCTTATGCGTGTGTGTGTGCGCGTGTGTTTGCTTTTTTTTCTGGAATGCAGGTCTTGCCCTTAGCTTTATGCGTTTTAGAGATTATGTGTTGTTGTATCTTCTTCTTTAGATGACTGCTTACATTTCTTTGAGCACCTTGCGGAAACGATCCAATACCATATTGGCATGCTTTTCGCTAAAGATCAATGCTGGTCTAAAGCGTATGGCTACATCACCACAACCACCGGTTTGCAAACCGGTCATTTTCAATTTGGCAATCATATCGTCGCGAGTCTTGCCATTCTTGCAATTGACCGCCAAGAAGGTACCACGTCCACGTGTGGAATTCAGAATGGTCGAGAACTCTTTTTCCAATTCCAATAGACCACTCTTGAGAACCTTACCCGATCGTTGAACCTGGTCCAGCAGATTTTCTTCTTTGATCACTTTAACGATTTCTTCGAGCAGGAGAATCTTGCCTGGATCACCCATCCAGGTGTTGAAAATACGATAGGTTTCCTTGGGAACAAATTCACTGGTGTGGAAGTAGCCACCCAATTGCATTTTCTTGCTGAACGTAACTACATCGGGGGGAGAGGGTAGGTTGAAGTGTTCATGGCACCACATCTTACCGGTGCCACCACCGCCAGTTTGTACCTCGTCGATGAGCAGAGCCATGCCATTGGCCTTGCAAATGCGTTGCAATTGTTGGAAGAATTCGGGAGAGGCTTCGTTGTCACCGCCCTCACTTTGAATGGGCTCGACCACAACACCTGCCACTGGAATACCCTTTTTGTTGTATTGCTCGATTAAGTCCTGAACTTCGGCCAAGCAGCGTTTATCCTGTTCCTGGTTGTACATAACATTCTCTTCCAAAGGATAACGATATTCGGGGAAACTAGCCACGGGCCAGTCAAAGGATGGCACATCAATTTTGTGTATATATTTGGAATGTGTGGTCGATAAAGCACCCATGGTACGGCCATGGAAGGCTCCCTTGAAGGAGAGCAAGCTCAGCTTGGGGGCACCTGGTGGCATATTAAACATGCAGGAGTTTTTCTCCTCCTCACTGAAGGTGACATTTTCACCGCGCTGGGTCTGTCTGTACCACATGAAGATATTCTTGTAGGCATTCTCGTTGGAACATGAGCCGCACATCATGGTGGTCATTTTGTCGAGACCCTTGGGTGCCACCTGCTTAAGGACATTCTCCAGTTTCTGGGGCCATTCCTTGCCAGGGAATACACCCAAGGCAGGACGATTAATTAAAGCTTTTAAGTTGCTATCGTTTTCGAAGACTTTCAACAACCTGGGATGATTATAGCCCAATGGCACCGACGAGATTTGTGTGTAGACATCCAATAGCATGTTACCATCAACATCACACAAATAGTTTCCTGTGGACTTTTCATAGTCGGCAAACAGTTGGACAGTGCCTGCCTGTTGTATGGCACCCAATTGTTTCTTCAACTCCAAGGATTTGGGTCCAGGAATGGTGGAGGTTTTTAGTATTGGCTCCTTGGGCTCGGCCAACGAGGAATAATGTTTAACATTTTTGGAAGCTCTGGTTACGTGTTTTAAACCTAAGGCAGCACGCATGGTTGTAGTTTTTGTTTTTTCAATTCAGTTTTTGCAAATTCCCAAAAGAACAATAACGTTCGTTGTTGGTGTTGTCCGTTTCTTTTTTTATTTTTCTTCTTCAATATCCGGATAGGTTCGTTGTCCCGCTTTTCCTTAAACTTGGATTTTTATGTACAATACGGAACGGAATGCATGGAAGCACTGAATGTTGGTATACCTTCATTCCTCACAAAATACCTCTTCATCGGCATGAAGAAATGCAAATGGAGAGCATTGCGGTGTCTCTCACGCTCTCAGCATTCATGATTGTTGTTGATGAGAATGATAGTTGGGGGGCCAATAACGCTATCTCTGCAGTCAGTCAGCCACTCACTCACTCAACTTACTTTCATTCTCAATTACTGTGCTCCACACCACTGTATTCTCTTAATGTTGCTGTTTTTGTTGTTCGTTGCTGTGGGATATCATCAAAAATAAAGATTCGGCGCACTAATAACCGTAATTGAAATCAGTGGTAGGTAAGTACATGCCTTTATTGCAGGACTGTGTGGCTGTTATTAGTTTCAAGCTGTTTATAGATAATCAGAGTAACAATCGTAAATTCACTGTGTGGAGATGAGCAGGGTCGAATCATTAATACCCTATTTTATGGCAAAACAACAATATTTTTGTAAGAATTTTTAGCAGGCTCAGAAAAAATGAGAAAATACCTTTGCATAACAAAATTATGTGGTATTTTTTGTGGATAAATGATTTCTAGGTTTAACATTTGAATATACGCCCACGTAAAAGAACAAGGAATTTAAGGTTACCGTGTTTAGACTATTGACCGAAATTTAAGTCCACCTAAACTTCTTTATTCTTTTATGCAAAAGCTAATCTAAATCTAGCAATATTTAGGGCTGTCATACATTTGTTACTCTGTTGAGATAGAGGCCCCCTCTTGAGTTCAGCCATTTTAAAGTTCTTAAACTTTTTTAGCGCATATACAGGTTTGCTATACCCTAATTATTTAAAGTTCGGTTAAGCTCAAACCTCTTTTTTTACTTGTTTTGACCATTTGAGACAACAAACACCATGTGACATATATTGTACGACGGTATTAATAAAAATGCAATGGTTTGTCATTTATTTTAAAACTGTTGTTTTGCTTTGTTTGTTAAAGGTTAATGAACTTTGCCACACCCACTGTCTGATCTGTTGTCTGTTTACGTTTGTCGGGGTGGAAAGTAAACAGCAAAAGTTTGTGATCTTGTGGTCTGATGTAGGTACTGACTTGAAGAAAAAAAATCAGAAATATAAATGGAACGTTAATTTATGTTTTTATGTAGAACTTGGCGAAAGTTCATTAAACTCATCAGCTTTCAAATATTAGAAATGCATATGGAATTAAATAGCTTGACTTTTTATAGGAAAGAAGATTCTTCTTACACTGTCTGTGGTGTTCCGTTTACGAAACCTTATTGTATATGACCAGACTATAAGAATTTTTGTGGCCTCCAGATATTCTTTTAAGGTCCTAATACATAAGAGGATTTTTTCCTGACATCACCCTGGATTCCTTTATTATTTTAGCTAAATAGACAGACGATGATTTATGCCAAAAAAAATTCTCTCATTATCTGGCTTTCTATCTCCGAAAATACTCCGAATCTGAACTACACCTCTCACCTGAAATTTTGTAGTAATCATAAAGATTACATTGCAATTTTTCTAATGGAATATTTTAACACGTATTCTCGACAATTAATCGTGTAGACCCAGCCGATAAAAACTATGTACCTATTCTCCTTGTTTGCTCTTTCGTCGCTCATTTGTGTGATTTTTGTTTTTTCTATCTGCCATTACCTCTTTTAGAAGCAGAAGTTTAATGGGCAAACCACCGATAACAGGGTCTGTTTTTATTTTGGCACTCAGCCAAAGTTAGAGCGTTACATGGGCTCATAATATTCCTGTGTTGTACATCTTTCTATGATCCGCTGATTTTTTACAGTCTCTGACAGAGTAAGAGTCATAATCTCTTCCTACTTATAAGTTCCTTATTCCACATCAAAAAGAATTGGCTTTGGTTTTGGTAGGTTTTTGGAGTCTTAACACAAAAAAATTGGGTATGTGTTTATATAGCTTCTAGCTGACATGATTATTTCGAGATGTTCCCGACATTTACATTAAAGAGCGCAAGTGTACGTGTTCAAAACAAATGAGGATCACAAACAACAAAAGATTCATAAAAAATACTATTATAAAGTCTACAACATTTTTTTTTTTTGTATCAAAAATAAAAACAACAATAAATTAGAATAACGAACGTGTGCATGTTTATCTTCCTATTGTATTTTATTAACATATTTATAAATTGAATTTTATTGCTCAAAAATACTATCACTCTTGGAATCGCATTTATTGTTCTCTAAAAATATATGATACCAACACACACACCTGCATACCCAGAGAAAGTGTGGCAACAACAATTTATCGCTCTATTATCAAATTTGGCAGATAACAAACAAGTGCGGGAGAGCTAAAAATCAGGTGATAATAGCACTCTCATAATGGTTTTGGAAAGTTCCGCGCTCATTTATTGTTAGGACTGCTGACTATGGCTAGTGTTTTGCCTTGTTTTGAAAACCAACTAGCAAAAGAGGTGCTACTTCATCCCTATCTAAATACTGATTAATGGACGTTTATGACATTTTCTAAAATAGAGATTGATAAATGGTCGATTATAAAGTACACCACGCTGCACATATTTCTGTTATAACCTAAATTAAAGGTGAGGTGAACATAATCAGATTGGCATCATGGCTAGGCATATTAATGTCAAATTATAAAGAGAAAAGGCGGCAGAAGTCGAATGCGGCATTTATTTTTGCTGCCTTTTTTAATGGAACGACTCAAAATATTACATTAAGGCTTCTTCACACAACATCTCTCTTTACGAGAAAATCCACGGGACAATAAGAAGGTGTGGCAGGATACCAACTGGTTACAATTTTTTATTATATAAGGTCGGCCAGTAAGTCCAACTGAGAAGTTTGCTGTCAAAAGACATTTGAAATTCAAAGAGAGTCACACGTCACACAAAAACCTAATATATTCAAAGACAGATTTCTACTCACAAGTAAATTGGAACACACTTCCAGCCTAACTAATTTGGGCCCAGTCGTATAAACATTTTTGGAAAATTATACTTAACACTGTAGAATGAACGCTGGTATTGTCACCCGAAATTCTTAATTTCTCAATTCCATTTTGGTTCCTCTATGTACTGACATTACAGTATTGCTATTGACATAAATGCAGCAAGTTGTTTTACTTTTGAATAAATTTACTTCGAATAAATAACCAAAAAAACGAATGAAAGTTCAAGTTTTTTTAAATCATATTCTATATATCTCTTAATATTTATTTCATAACAAAAATTGTAAATTTTACAATGCTTTCCTTGATTTCATTGTGCCATTCATTCACCTGCCTATTAATAATTTTTTGTTTTTAAATTTAAATTAAAATTTAACGATGACACAATACATTACCACTAACTGGCAAGTACGTGACCAATTTCATAACCGGTACTCGGGTTACTACAAAATAAATAGCTTAGAAGAAAACGATTTTCAGAAACCTAATCGTAATGACCTTTTCATGTTATAGAACCCTATATCAATACCTCGTTTGTTTTGATTCTACATATTTATCGGTAATTTCTCTATATAGTATCTTTCTGGTCGAGAGGACGACTGCTGGAATTCTTCTAAACTCACTCAAAATGGGTAGCTGGACATTGGAAGTCTTCAAAATGGCCATGTACATGACATTCCCGGTGGCAATGTTTCATATCTTTAATCAACCAGCGTACTTCGAAGAATGGGTAACCAAAAAGAAACGTGAATTATATCCACCAGAAAGTTTGGGCCATCGTGAGACACTGCAACAGGCCATCAAGGAACATCGCGAAAAACAAGATCAGAAATTCTTGAAAGCTTTGGAAGATATTGAAAAGAAGCAATCGGCCTAGATTGGCAGAGAATGGAGATAGGTGTTTGTTTTAGTTCGTTAAATCATATAATTCATTTTTACATTATATAAGAAAATGTGTATTGTTTAATAAATATTGAAAAACAAAATTCAATTGAGTTTGTTAGAAGATGAGAACGAAATTGCAAGACTACAAGCTTTTCCCATTAACCGGCAAGATAATTTATGGATGTCATGACTTTAAAAGGTTATGTCGTTCAAACTAGATATCCATCAGTCAAGATGCCTATCAAAAGGAGCACTATGCAAATATAGTAGATTTAGTACTGCACGATATTGTGAGAAATATTTACAGGCTATAGTAAATGCTTTAGGTTTGAACTGTAGAACAGAACAGAATCTAAAAACAATAAAAGTTGTCCGAAACATCCCACATGGTGGGATAAAATCTACAGAAATTTGGCAAATTATTTTGCAAACGTTGGAGCTTCAAACAATTATTATAGATTAGAGTATGGGAAAACAAGATCTGCATGCAACTGGGTGACAGAGTCGTTACGTACTAACAACACTTATACTTGTAGAAGAGTGTCAAGAAGAACTATGTTAGAACGTATAAATTTATTACTAAAATACTATCTATAGGAAACCATGAAAATTGTGATGTCATGAAGTTTTTAAGTTTTTGGTCGCACGTTTTTCCTGGACCTTACAAAGAGGCAATTCAAATAAGAGGCAATTTAAATAAGTTTGGCATACATTTTAAATTGAAACCATGAAAATCGTGATGCCATGAAGATTTAAGTCGAACGTTTTTCCTGGACCTTTAAACGAGGCAATACAAATCAGTTTGGCATACATTTTAAAATGAAACCATGAAAATCGTGGTGCCATGAAGTTTTAGGTCGCGCGTTCTTCCTGGACCTTACAACGAGACAATACAAATATGTTTCTATATTTGTTTGTAATTATGGACTCGAAAACCGCTGAAGAGATTTTGCTGAACATTTCCAAGCATACTACAACATCGCTTGAAAGTAACATAGGCCATAAAAATTTTTAAAATTCCTCTTGGAACTGGAGATATAGCATCAAAGTCGGAGGTACCTCCCAGATTTAGATTTTATATGCACATATCTATTAATCTATTACAGATACAGTCCCCAAATTTGGAATGCCTAACGGAACTTGAAACAAAAATAAATTTGCCGAATTATATTGAAATCGGTTTAGACTTGGATATTGCTCTCATATATATTTTCGACCGATTTCTTTTCTATGACGCACCAAACACGATATGTATGTTCGATTCCAATATGATTTGGAATGAGTGACGGGATTTGATCAGAAAAAAAATTTCTAAATTATATTGAAATCGATTCAGATTTGGATATAGTTCCCATATATATATTTTCGACTGGTTTCGTTTATTTGATGTCCAGATTTGGATATAGCTCCCATATATATTTTCGACCGATTTCTTGCATCTTGATGTACCAAACATGATATGTATATTCGATTCCAATAAATTTGGAATGTGTGACGGGATTTTGATCAGAAAATAAATTTGTCAAATTATATTGAAATCGGTTCAGATTTGGATATAGCTCCCATATATATTTTCGGCCGATTTCACATATTTGATGCACCAAACATGATATGTTTGTCCGATTCCATTTAAATTCGAACAGAAAGACGAAATTTGGTATCAAAAAATGCATATAAAATCAAAAGGTGTAGCGAGCGCGCTGGATCCGGCTAGTATTATATAAAACGAATGGGGTACAGGATTTAGTGCAAACATAGTTCAAGGCAATATTTTTCTCAGGAGTATGTGAAAAAATTGAACTACAGACCCACAGATTTTGATACCTCTACAATAATTTAAAACTATAAATTATCGTGAATCATGTGAAACGTGTCGTGGTATTGGAGTTGGTCTAATCTTGGCACACCATAATGATATTGTCCAAATAAAATGGCTTCCTTTTTGTACTTCCTCAGTTAGAATTACAACTATATGGGTAATATGGGTGTATGAAAAAATGGTCTATCAAAATAAAGGTTTGGGACCTCACATCTGCTTGGAAAACATTTCATGATGTTATGTGTCGATCCAGCCAGATCACAGAATTTTTCCGTTTATGATACACATGGTTATTCTTGAATGGAGCTCTAGTTTCGACATTTATCTAATCATTTTCGAAAAGATAGACTAATGGATCCTCCTTTTCCCATATCCTGATATAGGGTTCACTTTTAACCCATTTTGGTTCGAATTTAGGTAAATTATGAATATAACCCAATCATTTTGTTATCTATGGTCCAATATTTTTCTAACCAAAAAAAATCCTAAAATTACAAGTCTCATACATTTTAAATACTTTTATGCTTTTTCTTTGAAAAACACTAAATAGTGATCTGGAAGAGTTTTGGCTTTCTTAGTATATCAAAACGTAATACGATAAATACTTATAGGTTTTAAAATTTTGTTTCATTGAAATGAATGAAATGGATTTTAGTTAGACATTTGGTAAAATGGTGCACGAATAATAGTTTTCTTGATTGGATGTGTCACTATAAGGAAACACTATTTACTATATATTCAACATTGAATTAACAGAAGAAAGAAGCACTTGCGGATTTACTTTGACCCTAAGCCTATGTCAAATAAACACTAACTTTATTTTTGTAGTTCAAACGTTTTAGGTAATATAGAGATTCCGAATATCTGACTATCCATAAATATTTCATAATTGACTTTCTGCGAAAGTGTGGAAGCAAGAACTCCGACATTTTACATCATAATTAACGTTGGTAAAAAGTATTGAACACAAGGTTATTCTTGAAATGTTGCTTGCCATATCATTTATATGAACTTACTTTTTAAGCAAAGGATTTTTCATTTGTTGTCGTAGTTATTAGATCCAAGGTTGTTAAGTAAAAAATATTTGGCGGAAATGTGATTTTATGGCTTGTTTACATTTATTTATTTATTTTTCAGGTGGAGTTTGAATTGTTTTCTAGCAACAAATTTCCAAATGGCTGTTGCGTCAAATCAGCAACACTTCCATTGCCTTAGATTCTTATACCATGAATGTATAATGAATGAACAGTAACAGGAAGTCATTCCGGATGTGCACTCAACATATGTTTGGAATATTTAAATGTCGATACTTATAATACCCTGCCGGTTTATTATACCCTCAACCATATGGCAAGAGAGGGTATATATCATTTGATACGGTCAAAACGTGCCTAGTGGAAATAACGATTTTAGACCCTAAATATTTTACTGAGCAGAGAGAGAAAGGATTATCCGATTTTGTTGCAACTTTGCGAATCCCAATATTTGCATCAGTGCTAGGTTAGGTGCGAAAATGTATAGCATCAGTCCACTCTATCAAGTGCCTTCCCAACAAAGGGTCATCATTTTGAAAAATTATAACGCTTATAAAATGTGATGTAAGAGTTCGATGTCCTTCAAAATACACACATAACAATATTTTTAGTAACCCAAGGTCTGGTATGAAGATGCGATATATCAGCCCACAACTTCTGGTACCTCCCCCACAAGGGGTCAAAATTTTGAATATCCGTGAAGCTCATAAAACGCCAAATTAATATCCTATTCTATTCAGACTACGAACAACTCAATATTTCTATCAACTCAAGATCTGTAATTAAGATGGTAGAGATTTGGTTAAAGTTTTGAAAAACCAAAACGATTATAAAATCCGAAATATGAATCCGGATCTCTTTATATTTTACACATCTTATTACTTCTACTAACACTAGATCTGATGCGAAGATGGAATTTATCGGATAACTCCTTCTAGTACCTCCCCCACAAAATTTTGAATATCAATGAAGCTCATAAAAAGCCAAATTAACATTCGATTCCATTTAAACTTCGTAAATCTTAATATTTCCATCAAAACAAGATCTGTTATAAAGATGGTAGAGATCAGATCATTTTTTCTGGTTCCTCCCCCACAAAGAGTACAAGATTGTGAAAAACAAAACGCTGAAGGAAGCGAAATAACTAGAAACTTGATATTAATATGGAATTTATGATTTCGCATAAAATTGCATATAAATGATTGATTTTCTTGTAATTTTGCCCATACCAATATTTTTATCTGTATTAGATGAAGTATGAAAATGGTATACTTCGTTCGACTATACCTACGGTGACCATTAAACCCATAAAGAAATAGTGTACACATTTTCATAGATTGTATTTATTTTATTTAAAAACATAACATAAAATTCATTACCATAAACATATATTAATAAAAATGAAACTAAACTAAAAATACGTACATACATACATACATACAAACGAATGTAAAAATATACATACTTTACTTTTGGTATTTCTCAACAGAGTGTATTTTTTCAAAACATCAGTTCTATTCGTTAAGAATGATTTAAATTCAGTACAATCCATTTCAAAATTGCATTTTACAATTAAGAGAGATTCTAGTGTTTCCAATTTCATTTGAGTTTTCTCCGAAGTCCAAATATTATTAGATATAGAAAAAACCCTTTCTGTTGGTGCATTTGATGCACGCAAAGAAAATGCAAAATCCACTAATTTTAAAATATTTTTATAAGGAATATTTTCGTTGTAGAAGAATTTAAAAACTTCAACCCACTTTTTATCAGGATTTATTTCGGATTTTTTCCAAATTTCTATTTTGCCCACGTTTGCATAACTTTTTACGGAAGTAAAATCATCAAAGACGTCGTTATTATTTATATTTAAATCATTTCTAAATTCTATTACTTTAGCCAACGATTTTTCTACTTGCTGCCAAGATGGAACTGTTTTTAAAAGTACCCAAGAAAATCCCACAATTTCTCTGAATGATTCATCCCATTGGTGCAAATAGTCAATACAAGTTCCGTAAAAATGTTTTATTTTTCTTTCAAAATATTAACATCTAATCCCTCCGACTCTAGATCTGAAACAGCATTTTGAACCGCTAATGGTAGAAATACTTCATCATTTCGTTCTATTAACTTCAGTTTTAAGTCTTTTAAAATTACTGCTGCTTCTAAACGCAGAATATATTTATGAAAGACACAAGCTTGACTGTGTCTTTTCTCATAATAGACATAATGGCCAGATTATAATTCATAATAAAT